AGAGAGCGAAACAGAAGGCGGTATTAAATTGCCGTTTGAAACGAAACGATCTGGACTCGGAACGCTCTCTTCTTTTGTAGAGTTCTTTACCAAATGAAATAAATGAAATAAATTTCGTACTTTCCGCCGCCAACAAGAATTGCACACACGATCTGATAAGGGAGACAATTTATTTATAACAATGCCAATGGCGACAGCGAAGCACACATAATATAAATCCTAATGTGGTCGCACGACTTCCCTCATGATTTGAAGTTTGAGACTGGTTTTCTGTTGAAATTCGTCCTAATTTGCCTGTTCCGATTTTAGTTGAAAATGAGCACTTGCAAATTTGGCAATTACTGACTGCGTTGCTTGCTTTTTTGGAGTTAAAACGCAGCCATTTACACATTGTTTATTTTATTAGTGTTCTGAATAAGCAGAGAAAACCCCGCAACATTTTAATGCGAGTTTGTTTGTTAATATTTGGGTGCTGTCATTGGTTCTTTTTTGACAATTGACGCGCGAATGGGGCGTGTTATGAAAAGGGGCGTATTTCAAAATACCGGGCGATGGTTGCAGGCCCACTATCAGTTCCCTTGGGGCCTGCACGCAGGCTATCCAAACCGGAACACCATAAAACATTGGTGCCACCGGAAGCGGAAGTAAGCAGTAACTTCAGCTAAAAACGCTGACTTGGCATATTTTTACGCAAGGAGTGAGAAGCATTATTTGTTTTATTTGTTGCAATTTATAATAAATTTGGACTTGTAAAACGTCTTCAACTGGCTTTTGGAATTTAAAGTCAGGAATGATCAATTTAGAGATACAATTATGCGTAAAATAAGCCCTTTGGCGAGCAAAAGAACATCTTATATCGCGACAAAAGCATATACCTTGTCAGCGATATACAGGGGCTATTCAATAACTAAAGTATAAACATTTATACTCGAGTACAACCTTGGTCATTTCAAAGTCAACAAACTAGAAATCGTACTGGTAACATGGCTGGCTGCCGATTATCTTGGATTTGAGGGTTTTGAACAAGATATTGCAAGATTTAATTATAAATACACAAGATATACTTGAAGAATGTAAAATGAACAGTGATGAGTGATGTCATATATTTCTGTGTTTATTTGGAAAACCTTTTTGGCAAATCTTGAGAATAATGGCTTTGGGAATGTTGAAAATAAAAAACTGTCAGATAGCTGCATGGACAGCATGGTTAGAAGCATACATGTCATCGGATGAAACTCCAACTTTTGTTAATTGCCAACTGAAATACATTTTAATTAATGACAATTGATGTTCTAGTATGGAATGAACAGTGTTATAAGAACCAATGGTGCTGAACTAATTTGGGTTTATTATAAAATATTGTTTATCATTTAGTTCTGGCCATTAACCTTACCTATTAAGTTATACATTGTGTCCTACTTTTTATTTTACTTTGACTGTCTAACACCAGATCATGATTTTATGTGTTGGGATAGATCACTGATGTTCAATGGATTTGAATAATAATCTCATAATTGTTAACCTACTCTGTCTAATCATGCTAACACCATTGGCAATGGAATTGAGCAGTGATGTAGCCAGGATTTCTAATCGGGGCCTTCAAGTGGGACTGAAATCCCCGGGAGGGGCCTGCACTAGTTTGAATAAAGTTTGTTATTATGTAAAAATGTATTTGGACCCCCAAGCTATCCATGTATAATATAGTACAATGTAGACTTTTTAAATTCTAGTTAATAAAGTGCCATTTTGGGGGGCTATTTTAATGTGTTTTGGTGATTTGAAATAACCATGCAGTTAACACATGTTCAACTACTTAATTACAAACAAGTCTGGAACACTTAAAACATTTTGACACCCACCCCCCCACCCCCCTCTGGAATTGACTTGAGCCTTTTAGACCTCTGGATTTTAGTTGCAACTTAGAAAAGTGTTCTGACATACAGTGATGAGTTGTGTTTGTAAGAAAATTTAAAATTTGTGCAAAAGCATTTCTCAAATGGGTTGTTACAGAAAAGATCCACACTCCCCCCACAGAGGAAATTTCTGCCGTTCCGAGGGGGAGGGGGAAAAAATTGTTTCTGATAATAGTAAATGTATAATTAGGACATCCAAAGGGGTGGGAGGGATTAACTTCCAATTTCCTCCATGGGGGTGGTATGGGTGTTTTCTGGAATGATCCAATATAACAGTGTTTTTTTTTTCAAATCTAGTCAAGCTGTCAAATTGTCAATCCTTGTACATGGGGAGGGGCAATTTTGGAGAAAGAAAAATTGTGACCGATCAGGTTGGGGGTCCACCTGTAGGCTTGGCCATAGGCATCAGGGGTGAAACTAGCCCCTTTTAATTAGGGAGGTGTCTGCTAGAATTGTCCTGCGATAGCCAATGATGGGCAATATTTACTTCACAGTTGGGTAATATTGGTTTATTATAAAAATAAATAGGAGAAATTATTCCCTCAATATTGGGGGAAATATGCTATATAATGATTGAAAATTTAGTTCATTTTGATAAACAGTCATTTAATATATGTGCTATCAACAGTTTCTTTATGTTATTAAGTATTAACAGTTTACAATGTTTGTACATTAGAGATTTAGAGGCACTAATAACTCAATAATAAATAGGCATCCTCAAATTGGGAATATTTGTATTAAAATTTAAATATTTATTTATTTATTTATAATAAATATTTGTGTATAATTAATAATTTATCCTATTCCAATACAAAATGCAATAATATAGAACACACAATTTATCAAATAAAGGTAAAAAAGGTATTAAAAACTTTATTATGTAATATTTACATTGAATATCGTGGATTCGTGGTTGAAGTTGTAGATTTATACTTGAAATTTCGAGATTTATACGAGAAATGTTTCGCTTTTATTATGTTAGATTTTGTACTTTGTTCGCCATTCTTGCTTATTTACAAATACAAATAGTCCATTCCTTCTTTTGTTCGTTTCAAAATACCCAGAATTTGGTTTAAAAAAGTATTTTCATGCAAAAACCAGCATTTAACTTTTGTGTACACTCCTTGTGATAGCAGCCATGTTGCCAAAATAGGCTGCTTCCTCGGGTAGCAGAGCACAGACTACGTCATCAGTGTCAGTTTAATTACCGACAGCTTTACCAAACGTGCATGTTTCAATAATTTTCCAATTTAAACACCATTTGCTATGCATTAGTCCGCATTGTCCACACTTAGTTATACAAGTCCACACTGTCCACACTGTCCACACTTAGATAGAACAGTCCACAGTCCACACTGTCCACAGTTAGTTTCAAAAGTCCACAGTCCACACTGTCCACACTTAGATAGAAGAGTCCACACTGTCCACACTTAGTTAGAAAAGTCCACAGTCCACACTGTCCACACTTAGTTAAAACAGTCCACACTGTCCACACTGTCCACAGTTAGTTAGAAAAGTCCACACAGTCCACACTGTCCACACTTAGATAGAACAGTCCACAGTCCACACAGTCCACAGTTAGTTTGAAAAGTCCACAGTCCACACTGTCCACACTTAGATAGAAGAGTCCACAGTCCACACTGTCCACACTTAGTTAGAAAAGTCCACTGTCCACACTTAGTTAGAAAAGTCCACACTGTCCACACTTAGATAGAACAGTCCACACTGTCCACAGTTAGTTTGAAAAGTCCACAGTCCACACTGTCCACACTTAGATAGAACAGTCCACACTGTCCACAGTTAGTTTGAAAAGTCCACAGTCCACACTGTCCACACTTAGTTAGAAGAGTCCACACTGTCCACACTTAGTTAAAACAGTCCACACTGTCCACACTTAGTTAGAAAAGTCCACACTGTCCACACTTAGTTAGAAAAGTCCACACTGTCCACACTTAGATAGAAGAGTCCACAGTCCACACTGTCCACACTTAGTTAGAAAAGTCCACACTGTCCACACTTAGTTAGAACAGTCCACACTGTCCACACTGTCCACACTTAGTTAGAAAAGTCCACACAGTCCACACTATCCACACTTAGTTCGAAAAGTCCACAGTCCACACTGTCCACACTTAGATAGAAGAGTCCACAGTCCACACTGTCCACACTTAGTTAAAACAGTCCACACTGTCCACACTTAGATAGAACAGTCCACAGTCCACACCGTCCACAGTTAGTTTGAAAAGTCCACACTGTCCACACTTAGTTAGAAAAGTCCACACTGTCCACACTTAGATAGAACAGTCCACACTGTCCACAGTTAGTTTGAAAAGTCCACA